CCCCAAAACCCCAAAACCCCAAAACCCCAAAACCCCTGACATTTCATCAATTATTGAATAATAATTTAGTGATGGGAAAGCTGAATGCACATATATTCAGAGCTCTTGAAAGTGGAAACCAATGAACCTCTTGTGAGCATTGATGAATCAACGGAGCGCATTGAGGGTCGTCTTCAGAATGAGATGGAACTCTTGCGATGTATATTGTTATTTTCGTAATACTCTTAATCTGAGTCACTGTCTTTATCGTTATTACCATAGTGGTAAGTACTGTTTCCTTAATTAAATATTAAAATTTCTTCCTAGCTTATGGCTTATAGTACATAAAGTATAAGAAATAAAACTAAAAAGGAGCTCGAAAGAATCAGGCGAAGAACGAATCATAAAGGACATAAAGTCCGTAAAAGACGAGGCATAATCCTTGGTAGGCCAGTTTCTAAAAATATTCCTCTCAAGATGGCAGAATTAAAGGCATCAATTGAGCTAGAAAAAGCGGAACTTTTATATAAAGATAAATATCAAGAACTTCTCGATCAAAAGCCAAGCTTTGAGCTTTTGTTTGAGAGAAATATAAAGTTTGATCGAATTCAAGGGTCTAAAATTGATAATATCCCTTCAAGTAATAGACCATTGAACACTCATGCCAATGTGAAGGTATTTTATCCCTCTTTTGTGGACATAGATTTGCTGTATCATAGCCTAAATTACTAACATTTTCTAAAACCAGTATTCTGAGAATCTGTTAACATTCTTGCACAAATCTGTACACTTGTCATTATTTATATTATAGTCAAAATAAAGACGACTTGCTGTTTGAGTACACAGGTAAGGTATAGGTTCCCTTCCATATGTTCATGTTTGAATAGGGCCAACAATCAGAAAGGATCAAAGGGTAACCCAAAATTTTAACACTTAGGTGAAAATGCACGATTTCAGGAGTAAAATAAAGAGCCAATTAAAGAAGACATTAATTACAGATCTATACAATATCTCTGATAGCCCAATGCAAAAAGTGTTAAAGAAAAAGAAGAAGCGGAAGATGAAAAAGAAGAAGAAGCGTACTAAGTTCTCTAAACTAGGTATTAACAGCAATAATCCTTTAGGAGACGATACGGCGATTCATAAGGACCTGGCATTGGTGTCCAACCAGAACAGTGGGTTTGAAGACTTTGATTACTCGAACCAAACCTTAGAGCAGTTCCTTAATGAGAACCGAGTCAATATATTCAATGACAGAGTACTCTTGATTTGGTTAAGTTTTAGGAGTACCATAAAGATACTAGTGATGACATAGAAAACTCAGGTGAGCAAACTCGATATAAGAATACTGATATGAGCAATCAAAGAAATTATGATAAGAAAACTAACATCCAATCGAGGATTGATGACATTCTTGATGATCTTGGCGACACTGAGAAGTGGTAAGGTTGCAGAGATATTGGATTTAAGATAGGAATTTTATGAAGGTTTTCAATACATATGAACATTTATGGGGTTTTGGGGTTTTGGGGTTTTGGGGTTTTGGGG